GACCCACAGCACGCCCAACTCAGAAGACCCACAGCACGCCCAACTCAGAAGACCCACAGCACGCCCAACTCAGAAGACCCACAGCACGCCCAACTCAGAAGACCCCAAACCTATTAACTTTAAAAGTGTTAGCCCTCCAAATTATATCCACAAGCACTCCACAGGAGAGACATCTTTAGTGGATATGAATAAACATATGAATGAGTTTTACTCATGTTCTTACTCTAATTCATTTTCCACCATGCTGTATTCATGTCTCCTTTTACCAAGTATATATATGACTTTGGGAAGTGTCCCACTGCTCTGTTAATTTGTCAGCCAAAGGACTCTGCATACATCTTTGGTCATTCTGAACCATAAGGAAAACATTACGGTAAAAAAGACCAATGTGATAACATTATTAGAAACACACTACTTCCCTATTTGAATTATTGCCAGTTACTCCCTATCCATTCCTGAAACCACAGGCATTAAAACAGCAAGTATCTTACTGACTTCAGTTGGAGTAAAGCATAAATATTAAGCAGTCAATCATCTTTCTATTGTGTGCTGTATCTGCAGAACTTCTATACTGGATTTTACATAAACGAAACAAATACAATTCAAAAATAATCTCCAAAGAACAATACAAATCTAACATATGTTCTGACTACATAATGTACCCTAGCTATATTATCAGTACCATGCTTTTCCTATACTGTATTGTTCAAGACAGCACTTTGGAAAAATAGCGATTTTCAGCAAGCCGCTAGTTTTGTTATTTACATACTCTCTACAAAATATGCTTGTTCCGCTAGGCAAGAGAGATTACACATCCATCTGTTAGTTAGGGACTAGTCCAGAGTTGGAAGTTATTCTCTACTCCCCTGTTACAGAAGCTCAGCTATCAAATGCAAGCCCAAACAACACTTGGCAAACAACACATGGCTGGCAGAGGCAATAACAAACTACATGTTAAGTGTGAGGAGTATTTGGTACTACTCTTTTTTTAAAGAGTCTGCATTGTTTTTTTGGAACTTTTTTCCATGCTGTAACATCACAGTATCCATGTTATTAAAGAATATAGTTGTCCCAGAAGACAGTTTCATTTAGTCAATCCTACCTTCAAAAAACAACTTTAATCAGGGTAAGCTAATCTTCTGTACCTGGAAGAGTAACTGAAGCAAGGTCTCCTATGTCCAAACTTATGACCTTCCACAAATATATTTTCCTACACCTCTGCCGTCTTTGCATACTTTAATACCCATCCTCTTCATAATTTCATGACACTGGTTTGAGCCTGTTCCCTAGATCTAATTCATCAAAGATTTCCCAAGGGAGATGAATCAGGTCCATCACAAGCTTTTATAATAGTAGAGCAAAAAGGAGATAAGGGAAGTAACCCAGATCCRTATGAATATCCAAGGGGACTGCTGCCCCTGATTTTTCTCATCATCTGCCTTGGGTTAAGGCCAGGAGTAAGAAAACTAAACAACAAAAAACCCACTTGTACGTATTTTTATTTTGGTTCAATCCCACCTCCCCCTCATTAAAAAATAATAATAATAGTAATACAATGGTCATTATTATGACTGGTGTAATTCACCATGTATTTCCACAGTATAGTAAGGTAAGACTTGTGAGCAGACACAAAAGAGGCACCCAACAGCACCGAGCCATATCAAGTTGTGATCATGGCCTTGGGCACAACAGAGTGAATGGGGAAGAAGAGCTGGGCACTCTGTTGTCAGCAGACAGGTGACAGCACAACGTTGGTCAGAAATTTCTGTATACCCAGAGTATTTCAGCTCTTTCCTCTCCCGTAAGTATTCTTTGACTAGGAAGGGAAGTAGCTGCAGTACCATAGAATCCACCATGTGGTGTCTGTTAGCAAATGTTGACTTTTTCATGGTGACTGGTGTAGGTACATCTAGATTGTGTATTTAAACATCACAGTTTTGTTTTCATTTCTTGCAAGAAACATTTGACTGAGGTTAATGTTTCATATCAACAGAGTAAAAATAGCTAATTCTGGGCCCAAAGGTCATACACATCAGCACAACTTGAGTTCTGAAGTGCTTTTAACCTTGATTTTTCCTTGTAAGCTAGGTCCTTTAAAATACACAACATATTTAACTCTGCTCACAAGCATAGGGAAAAACAGTATCTTAGAAAGATCATCATTATTTGACAATTGGAGAAGTCTGACTGCATTTGAGACGCAGTATTCACCAGGAAATACATAAGACAAACACAGCTCACTTTCTGTAAAGTAAGGACAGAACAGAAAAATCAGCACAGACATAGGGGGGAAAAGAAAATTTTAAAAAAAAGGACATCTTCCTCATTTGATTTATTAGATTTTTGGCACCCCAATTAAGTTCTGACAAGCTAGTATTCCAGGCACGGTAAAATATTGTTGTTCCACTAGACTTGCTCCAATGTTTAGTCATAAGATCCATACAATAATAACAGAACAGTGGCCTATCTTGACCAACAGTACATTAGTTATTATCTGCAGCACAAACACCTACCACTTTATACTAACATTTTGGCAGTTAACCTAAACATAGCACTTAAAGCTACATCATAATTTTGATATCTAACTGGGTCATTTTCCTTCCAGCTGGCACCAGTAAAAAGTATTTTATAACAAAAAAAATTAAATGAAACTTTCTTTACAAGGGCTTTTTCCCTCCTCCCCCCACCTCCTTCATTCTTTAATGGCAGGAGCACAAGTATGATTTCAAGCACACATGACACATTTTTCAAGGCCTGTTCATGGTGATGCTAGCTGGGTGAATTACAATAAGATTTATTGTGCAGTGGTATATGTCTAATTTTTCCATCTACCGCTGGGAGCTTCAGTTGGCGGGAACTAACAGAGACGCCCATTATGCACAGCCTGGTTCAAACTGTGGTTTTGGTGCAAACTCTCAGGGACAGGAATTTACTGCACATGCTGGCAAGAAGAGAGGGGGGAGAGAGCTGATGAAAAGAACAAAAAGCGCTTTTAAAATGGCTTCTCAAATATTCTGTATTCCATTTATTCTCCAAATTGTTTTTGTGGCAAGGCGGGGGGGGGCAGTTTTAAAGACCCAAATATTTCCTGTAAAAATTGGGTCATATTCATTGGGTATAAAACAAGGCAGCTAATGACTTCTCATTATTGTCACAAGTTCCCTGCTGACAGGATTCAAAATGAACAGAAGCTCACCAGAAAAAAGTTCTCAATGTTTCACCCTCTCTCTCTCAAGCTATTGGAAACACAAGTCCCTTTTAAAACAACCAGCTAGAGACTTTTCCTTTACCTTCCTCTGCCTCATTCCAGTTCTCAAATGTCCCATGCAAGCTCTCAGCTAAACTGACTTGACATTTTCCCTGCCCAGTAAAGGTGGAAAGGTACAGATAGGAAATAATGGAAGGAAGGAAAGGGGAAAGCCAGAATAGACACAAAAAAGGAAAAGACAAAGTGAAAGCCTGAAGGGATAAGATGGAAGAAAAAGTGGTTGGGCAGCTCAGGACCACTACAAATAAATAAAAAGCAGTTTGAGGGGATGGTAGGGCAGGAGAGGGAACCTGAGGAAAAAAGGTTTAGAGAGAAAAAAAATAAAAGAACTGGGAGTGGAAAAAACAGTATGAATAGCATAGCAGGAATATGGAGCAACAGAGTAAATGACTTATTCAGAGCAGGGCTGAGATCCATCTTGCTGAGCCACAGAGTTCAACAACTTCACTTTAATACCATGAGCACTTAATCTCAAAGATGTAGCTGCAGACAACCTCCACAACCACACTCCTCCCTCCTCAGGAGGGGCCTGTCAGAGAGCACAAACCATACGACACATCATGCTGCCGCTAAGCCAGAGCAATGGGAAAAAGATGGCTTGTGCAGTCTGTGCCACAACTGGCACTCTGGAAGGCATTTCATTTTAACAATGCAGATCAGGCAAGTAAAGAATGCAAGGCAGTCCATAAATCCTTCTGTTTCCAGTGGTTTACAACAATTCATACATCCAAACACAATACTATAGTGCAAGTTTTGGGTAAAGTCTGATGACCTAGAGTGTTCTATACTTTGGTTTATTTTATGCACCATTGTCATGCTCATAGAAACTGCTCCAAATACCAAACTCAATACCATCTTTTCTATTATCTCAGGGGGTGCTCTCTATAACCTGCAGCTTAGTTCTATAGCTACACATAGGATGGCACTGTTGAAAATACTTAGTCTTCACACATCCAGTGTCTCTTCCTCCCTGACCATTTGTAGGCAGCAGATTCAAGGCAAATAGCTATCTTACTCCCTAGAATTCAATTTATTCACCTCAAAGTGGCATCACTTGCTTCTGTGCCTGGCTACTCATTTATATTTTTACTTTGAATCAAGCATGGAAAACCAACTCTGGTAAATTTATGTATTCTCCATGATAATTTCTGGAACACTTAGCAACAGAGAGGAGAAGCAAGCAAATGGGTGCATTATTACAGTGTGCGGTGTGGTATTTCATTATCTCTAGTGATCTGTAATGTCATTCATGATGAAAAAAGTTAAAGAAACAGAGACACTTTTCTCCCTTAAAGAGTAAAAAAAAAACCCAAAAAAACCAACACACAATTCTGTGCCATAATTGTTAAAATATATCAGTTCAAATAGAACTATTTGGCAAGCCAGAGGAAGGAAGTGTCAGAGTAGGTAAGGCTAAGAAACAACCATTACTTTTTGCCTGCCTCCTCTTTCCGTCTTTCCAGTCATCACTCAGTTCATTAGCACTTTATGGTTGTCTGTCAATATGACCATCAATTATCTCTATGGGCAACAGCAGATGAAGGTTCCTCTGTACCACACTGACTCAGAATTGAACACAAAAGTTTCTTTAAAGAAAACCAACAATAAATGCATAGAAAACAAGGTACAAGAGCCAGATGAAGTACAGTTAAAGGTCAGCCTCAAAAAGGCAAGTTTTCCACAGACTTCAACTATTACACTCTTGCCAAAAATAYTTTCTGATCTTTAATCAAGCAATCAGTTCAACCATATGCATGAGCACAAGAATTATCCTGTGTTGTCACACAGAAAACAGCACAGTATTGTACAGCACAGTACTATTATAAGCCCCAATATGAAAGTATGGCTCCAGAAACAGCAAAGCATGTACCTGTAGGTGATATTTAAAAAGAAAACCCACACACATGCTTTCCAAGATCTGTAGCACAACATACACATTGTGTGAACTGTAGACTGGAACAGTATGTTATGTAATATGGTACCAGACAGGCTTCTTGGCACTTAGATTCAGAAACAAGCATTAGACACAGTCCATTCTTCACAACAGTGCCTTCCTGTGCCACCAGAAGTTAGCCCCATAGACACTAGTTACAGACCACTGTCCATTCACAGCCGAGAGCTGCAGCTCTGTATTCTGTATTTAAAACTTGATCCAGGCTTGTATAGGGACTAACAGAAACAAAAGTCTTATTTTCCACTGACTTCTCTGTTCAGAAAACCTTCACATTGCATATCAGAACCTGACTAACCACATGGTGCTCTAGTCACACCTAGCACAAAATGGCACCATAAACATCTCCTCCGCAAGTCCTAGCCCACTGGACAAGGTCTTTGTTGCCTTTTTACACAGGAAGAAGTTGCATGCCTTTCCCAGGAAAACTCCCTTCAGAAAAAGGAAAACGTATCTTCAGAAGACGGTGAATTAACATACATGTTAAGAAGGGAGCAATAGTCTTGAGCATGCTATAGATTCACATCACTCAAGAAAGCCTGCCAAGGACAAGTAATCTCAAAGAATCCCAACACTGCCTTCTCTAGACTGTCAACCACATCCCTAGTGTTTTCTCTCTCCTATTTTTAAGGATTGTTCAATGCAAGTACGCAGGGAAGCTACACTCCCAGGAGAACAGTTCAAGAAAGTCTGTTTTCATCTGTGTCTCTCAAGCTCGCAGTTTGTTCCATATAGTTTTGTCACTCGGACAAAAAACCTTGGATGGAAGACACAATGAACCAGTAAACTAACTATATAACAGATACAGCATTTTAGGGCGTATAACCCCCCCCCTCTACTTCCAGTCTTGCAGCGATCCGAGCTTAGCGAGAATTAGCYGTTTGGACTATTGGTTTATTTTCTAGTCATGTAAGAAAGGAGATCCAGCAATATCTGTTGGCAGCAGGACTTATATAGGTGTGAAAAACTGTTTGAAAATATTCCTGATAGGACTTCCAACGCATATGATTTTTTTTTTTTTTCTGTTAATATTACTTGGGTATTTTTTAAGCTCATAAACTAAGAGGTAGAAATTTTCATAGGCCATCAGTCACCCAACTCCATCTGACCCTGGGCTTCGTGCTTGAAAATCTCCAAATATCATGTGTCTTTGATATAATATCAAAGACAAAGACAAATTTCCCTCTGCATTTTACTATGCATTATGTTGAACTTCAACAGGACAATGCACACAATTAGAAGTACTATTGCCTTCATATTTAAAATTACAGGAGCATTTCTCTAAGTTCAGTACCAAATCACTTCAAAATGCTTTAAGAATTTGGAGGCACAACTTGCCTATATACTCCTAATAAATAAAGAAGACACACACTGTTAAGCTCTATTGCAAAGAAGTGAAACAAAACTAGCCACCAAGAAGCAATTTATTTAGGGAAAGAATTCTAACTAACAGATCAAACAAACAATATTAAAAGCACCAGATTATACTATGTTTTTCTTGATACTGTCATACTTAGCAGAGTAAACAATCTCAGAGAAGAGAGTTTACCTCAAATACTGCAAGCATCAAACAGAAGTGCAAGTTCCTAAGAGTGCTGTAGTAAAGTCTTCTGGTTTTGCAGGTGTAGGCCATCATTGCACAAGGGAAAAAAACAATTCTCCCTCTTTCTCTTTTATTGTAAAGAGGTGTAACAGTGGACCTTTGGGGTCTTTGCCAAATGAGAATTTGAGAAACATATGGAAAGCTTTCAGCTTCCAGGGTGCCTTCCTCCTCATCCCACCTACCTGAGTAGACAGGTGGAGATGGGGTTTCTTCCTTCTGTGAAGGTCTCTGTCAATATAACAGAGTAAGGAGGGTGGAGGCTGACCCATGTTTTAACATGCTAAGTGTGCAGTATCTGCCCAATACCAAGGGGCAAGCCTCAGGGACAGCAAGATGGAGTCCAAGAACTTTCCAAGGGCCATTCACAAGTCTGCAAACTATCTAGGTCCTTTGGCTCTGCTTTACACATGCTTTCAAGCCCCTTATTTAGAACAGTAAGTTTGATAGCTCACCATCCAGAACTTTCTAGTCATGCTTTCTACAATGAAAGTCCGGGACAGGGACAGGAAGGGAATTCCTCAAATAATTCCTCCACTTTTGCTGTAATGCGAGGCAGAGTCTTGTTAAAGCAAGAGAATGAGGCGACAGCAGGGAGGGCAGTGGCAGGAAGAGGAGACAGGAGGAGGAAGGAGTTGTAATTGCAATATACCTCTAAATGTTTCTCTTTAAATGAACTACTAAAGGAATCACAAACAAAAATGGCATTTTAAATAAAAGAAAAAAATTGAGCAAGATCTAATTTCTAGCACTCTGTCCCTGCAGTGTGCAGCACCAACTCATTATTGACAGGCTAATTACCTTCTATATTGCAAAAGCTAAAAAATTCAAGCACCTGGCGTAAAGTCCTGTGTCTTCTAGCAACCCCAGACTGCAACAGTTTTTTTGCTTTCTGACCAGCAACAGAACTCTTGCAAGCAAAGAAAAGCTATTCCCAAAAGTCAAGAGCTGCTCTAAGTGTTTATTGCTCATTTTCCAAAAACATCAAATATTTTAAGGCTGGGATTTTCAAAGGGGCCTAAGAGAATTAGGTACTTCTAAACCTATTGAATTACAGTGAAATTCTAGTTCATCTATTCCTAAATCTGCCCTGAAAGAGATTTAAGGTGGGATTTTTTTCCTTCTCATTTACCATTCTGAGGCTTTATTCATTATACTGCAATGGGTAGTGCAAGACAAACTCCTCACTAAACACCTCTCATGGACACCAAAAGTTTACCAGTTGTTGCAGATAGGATTGTTGGTAGACTGGTGCTTTTCTACGATTTTTCAATTTTGTTTTTCAGCCATTCATATTGTAAAAATATTGTCCTCTTTCTTGCCAATAAATCTCTCAAATTTACAGGAAATGCCTGATTAACTCAAGACAAAAATCCCACCCTCCATTAGCCTAATTAAAAAAAAAAAAAAGCAGTTTAAAAACATACAACAAAACAGGGAGCAGATGCATAATTTCTCACAATAACATCAATAAAAATTATGAACAGGTTTGTGCCCAGACAACTACATTTTGGATGTCAACACTGTATTAAGTGTACTAGAAATGCAAAAGCAGAAATTCTTCTGCCTTTTACATTTAGTTCATAACCACTTTTTTTTTMCTCCCCTAGAAAATGAGTGTTGCTCTATTTCAGAGGTGAGAGCCACTCTGTAGTTACAAGTGGTACTTTTTCACTTTCTTAATACAATCCTGTGGCTACAATTAACAGAACAGATAAATAGCAGATCAAATTAAAGTCTGATCCTGTTGTGCTTATAGGTATAATCCTTGCAATAAATTGCAAGTTAAACTGTTGGAGGTAAATGAGGAGAGACAGAAAGCATGATCTGTGAAGACTGAATTTTAAGTGTTCAGACATTAAAAGCAAGTGCCTGAGAGAAAATATGCAACTACCGAGAAATTTTCAGAAGTTTCAGGTGCATTAGAGATTATTGTAAGAGTTCTAATAGTGCCAAGGAACATCTTGCACAGATCTTTGAAAAATAAACTAGTTTTTTATATGAGCTATTTAGTGTTGACTTTCCATCACTCACATACAAATACCACATTCAAAACAGAAAAAAATACAGAATTTTTCGTCTCCTTTCAGAACTTTACTGTTGTACTTTCTCTGAAGCTTATGGAATAAAGGAAAGCAGATTGTTTCCAAGCATAGTCTTATTGCTATGGAAATCTCCTATTTCACCCTCAAAAATGAATAACTGAACCAATTTGAAGACCATAGCCTCAGATTCTTACTATTATTTTACAATTGTGTACTCTCTCATCTCTTCAGCTGGGAATTCAATCACAAAGTCTTAGCAATATAAAATCAAAATATAGTASAAGAAATGTGTACTACCTTCAATATGACCAGTGTAAGGATTTGCAGRGAAGGATTAAAACAAGAAAGTCAGCTTTATGAACCATTGTATTAAGCAAATAATATCCAATGTAAATGTTAAGGTAGCATCCTAAGAACTCCTATGCACTTACTGCCAAATGCTGAACCAACCTTTGTTTCCTGTGACACCAGCGGGAACAAGATGGGACTAGAACTTCAAAGAAGCAACCTGCTTTAAAAAAAAAATAATTAAATACGAATAACTGAGCCAATTTGAAGACCATAACCTGAGATTCTTACTATCATTTTACAATGGTGTACTCTCCCATCTGTTCAGCTGGGAATTCAATCACAAAGTCCTTCACATGGTCCTTCATATCAAGAGGTTTTAATTTTTTTTGTTTATTTATTAAAGTCTCTTGTTTCCTCTCAACACTCAGGATACCTGAAGGCACTACTAGCAAGCAATTCTACCATCCTCCTCATGGTTTTGCCACTTGCCAAAGCACTGCTCTGCTTGGTAAGGTGGTCAGCAACACTAGAATTCTCTTGCCTTTTGTTTTTGGCCATTAACCTCTACAGAGCACTAACAGCAAAGCATGATAATATGCTCCAAACTCTACTTCAGATTCTTCTCCTACAGTAGGAAGGACAGGCAGAGCATTATAGCCCTCACATTCCTAGCTAATTCCAGCCTCACTTCAGCCTCCTCGGGTTGATCCCAACCCAGATCACAAATTCCAGATGATTCCTGATCATGCCAGGTGGAGGCACTTAGCCTATCCTCTCACAGCCCAACAAGAATCACATGCAAAGCAGAGCCCTAAAGGCTGCAACCCACAGGYATCCTTAGGCTGGATAATGAACTGCCTCAGCAGCCTACTGAAGGTGCCCAGATACCTCTGCAACACATTCCTTGGTATCAAAGGCTGCATATAGTAGGAAAAATAGAGACTGAATTAATATTTAATATTGTAAGTTGAGACATACCAAGTTTTCTCTGACTGCTCACATTGCAATAACTGAATTACCCCCAAACTAAACTTTCCTATGCCTGTTCTTCTCAGGCCGTTTTGGAGACCCTTTTTCTCCTAGCTGCCATGTGCAAGAGCAGCTGTGGTCAGTCTCACACCACCACTTCACACACCCTTACCCCCTCCCCACAGTAGTCCTGGCCCCATAAGCAAACACATGCAGGATAAATACTCTCCCCGTTATGTGTCCTCCCTCACACCGAGATATACTCGACACTTTACTCGCTCGGGGAGAATCAGAGGCGGCAGGGGGCGCTTTTTCCTCCCCTCTCCTCAGCAGGGACAGGGCAGGGACGCGAACGGAGCCGTTGACTCCCGAAAAGTAGCCACCTCCCCCTAAGGTGTCAGCTCTGCCCCACACGGGAGAGAAAAGCAAGAGCCCTTACCACACGGTGCAACGAAGCTTCGCGAAGCCGCTAACCGTTAGCCCCACCCCGCAGCGCGCGCGCGGCCGTTGGTCGACCGTTAGTAAGGGTCGACAGGTGCGCAATGCGTGCCCCGCTGGAGGAGCGCTTGGGGAGGCGCGAGGCGCGTTAGCCCCACCCCGCAGCRCGCACGCGGCCCTTGGTCGACCGTTAGTAACGGTCACGCGCTGCGACAGGTGTGCAGCGCGTGCCTCGCTGGGGGAGCGCTGAGGAGGCGCGAGGCGCCCGACGGCAGCACGTGCCGCCCCCTGCAAAGGGGGCGGCTCTGGGGAGAGCAGCCAACGGAAGTGCTGGCTGCACCTCGCAGCCTCCCCAAAATTACACAGACCCACTCCCGACTTTGCTGTTTGAGAGAGTTCCCCCCCCCCAAATACCTGACAAATCACAGCTCTGGCAAATGAATATTAAATATTTATCATATGATAATGCCCACCATTAATCTTCTATTGACTCTTACACATGCATATGTCAGAAATGAAAGGATGTCATTTTTAATATAAATTACTGTAACTCACTGAATATTTGTAATTGCTCTTTTGCCTTTTTTTTTTTTTTTTTTTTTTCCTTCCCTTAGAATAGCCTAAAATGACTAGGATACCTAATGCTTCCCTGCTGTAGTTGGAGGCAAAAAATGGAAGTGTGCAGGGCACATTGCAGGCTCTGGCCACAGCAGAAATGATACAGTTCAGCTCAAGCACAGCAGCTTATGGGCTCTCCCCCACCTTTGCTTTCCAGCCATATTGCAGTTGTCAAAACTAGAAAAGCTTGCTAGTCTCTCCAGTCACACTCTTGGAAATAGGCAGTTTGTACTAAGAAGTTTTTTTCCAGAAGCTTTTTTTTTTTTTTTTCCCCTGCACGATGCCTCTATGTACAAGACTTGCAATACTTCTGCTCTAAGGGAAGGAGGAGGGGATTTGTTTTTTTTAACTCTTATTATTAATTTTTATTTCCAGCACTTACCCTCTGGTTTTACAGCAGCTGTAACTATTCTAGTGGAATTAACTGAAGTCTTGTATTAAGTGTGGATTTCCTGATGTTTGAATAAAAGATATTTCCTTGTGATTGAGTAATATGATCATTAAGGTTCCTGATCTCTAGATTTTCTGAATTAAGCCTGTTAAAGTTTAACCAGATCTTGCCAAAAATAGGGGACAGTTTGCATCCTAAATACTTTAGACTGTCTGATAGACTTAAGAGTTGTGCATAGACTGCATGTTTTGATTCTCCGATCTTTCTCCATTAAAAAACTCGGACCGTTCCTCGCCAGGTCAGGCTCCAAACGTCATTTCTGTCATTTCTTCCTTCTCATCTGCCATAGCGTGATGCTGTGTTCCCCCATAGGAAAGCCATGCACCCATTAGCAGCTCAAGGCAGTGGCTGCAGATGGTGAGGAAAAGYAGCACGAACCCTGAGTGATGTGCAGGCTCTCATGCTCTCCCTAACTAGTGTCTCCTCTTGCCACTGTTGGACACAAGATCACTGAGTTAGGAGGACTACTGGTCTCATCTCATCCAGTTTGTAGCCAAATTAGCTGTGACCTGCAGTGGCTATGGAGACATTACATTACTACCCTCAGGGGTCTATGTGGCAGAGGCCCTCTTCCCATTTGCTGCTCGTGCCACAAAGCACAGGATCCTGCTCCATAGCTGGGGTGCACAGCACAGTTTTTGTGTTTCCTGACTGCCAAATATAACCCCATGCTGTATGGCCTGACTTAAAAAGGAGCCTAGATGTGTGTCTGAAGTTTCAGGTGCCTCATTTGAAAAATTAAAGCTGGATGTTGCTGCAGTGATGTGAGAGTGAGGGTTTGTTTTGTGCTCACATTTACAAGTTTTGAGTTTACATCCTATTTCTCCAAAGCTAATTTCAAACAATCAGTTGGTTTCCTTAACCTGCTAGCAACTGATTATCCAGAGCAGTGGCAGAAAATGTCCCAATAAACATTTATTTTGTAACTTGATTGTATATTTGAGGAGGATTATTTAAAGCTCTTATAATCACCTTTGCTCTTCAGAGCAAAACTGAGTTATCCTTTCCTGATGAGCTACAATGCCAACCAACCCTCCGAGTAGGTTTTAATACAAGTAGAGAAGCCTTTAAAGCCTTTGGTGTCAAACTGAATTAAAGTGTCTGTAAGTAGTTCTTAATACAACTGACCACAGTGATTTCTACAGGGCAATTATGTTTTAGTGTGTCAATCATCCAATAGGCATTAATATAAACCAGAACAGCTCTGAAGAGATTTSTTATGGACTGTCATGTCAAGAAGCCAAATGCTAACCTGTAGCAGCCTTGATATTATTAGAGTTACTAAGGGTCAGATTTCAATTAATCCACAGATTTAAAAGTCCTCAACTGTAGTGGGTCTTGATACAATTAAGCAATAATAGATGACAGGAAGGATACTTCCTGGCAGTTAATGACCAGTGGCAGTATTTGAAGGCCCTAAACCCAGCTGGTCATTAGCTGCTCACAAAAACACAACCTGGAGCTCATATTTTCTATTGTAAACCGTATATTAAAGAAATAAATCAACTACTCTTGCCTTTTGCTCCCCCAATTGCATGGAGGCTGTTGCTGCTGGGCTATTGCATCAGCACTTAATTGCCAGGAAAATCCTTGTGCAAGTAACTGGTGGGGAGATGAGCCTGAACCTTGTAATGCTGAAAACCCCTTACATGTGTCCTAACAACCTCAAAGGATGCCCCAAAATGCTGTGAGGGCACCTGATGATGCCTGCACACACGAGCCTCTCATATGCATGGATGACGTGCACGCTTACCTGCAGCTTCCAGCACTCCCTTTCTCCAGAAGGCTGTGCCCCTGTGTAGACTCAGCCCCCTGTCACACATGGCAGATTTAGGGGGTATTTTTAGCACATCTCTAGGTAGCAAATAAGCATTTTGTCTGGTTACTAGTGTGGAAAGCAAGGACTTTTTGTATTCCACTCCTGAACTCACTTTTCATTCTCCTTATAACACTGAACACCATCAGTGTTTCCCAGACTATTGATCATTATTCCCAGCTGCAGTTTCCAGCAAGGTAAAGAGTCAAATCATGTAGCTAGGCAAGGGGAAGAAAGACCAGACAAAATGCTACAATACCTCTGTGGGGAGGCCAAAAACTGACTTAGGTAGAACAGTACGAAACTACGAAAGCAGAGGATCGAATCCCATTTCAGACCTATCACACAGAATTTAAACTTAAGACATATTGACATGGTGCTTCATCTCCACGTGTCCTTGACTCTAGTAGCGAAGCCGGACTGACCGCTGTCCCGTGCCGTAACTCCTTTCTACCAATCTGTGCCATGGCCGTCTCGCATCCCGTTGCACTGCAGCAGTAGTAGCAGAAATGCAGTTCCTATGCTGCCTTCTCCTTAAGGGCATTTCAGTGTCACAGTTTGACTGAGTGACTAGCTGGTTGCTTACCAAAAGCCAAAGCACTAGCCAATGGTCCTGTATTTATTCATGGAGGCTCTGTGTGGGGTGGCTGGGATTCCCTCTTGGTTAGATGATTCRGGGCGACTGGTGCACTAGCTGACCCGCAGGTGCAGCCTGACATGTGGCACAACCTCGGTGTCATTATATTGCATTACGGTACTTTTCCTGTCAGAACCTCAACTAATTACTGAGTCAAAAGCCAATCCTAACACGCAAACAACAGCATTTACAGACATGGCAATACAGCAACCGCAGGTTTTCTTGTTGTCAGCTTTGGTTAATCTGCTTACATGTTATATGCAG